GGAATGCGGCTTTGGATATGGGGAGGATGCACAGTGCATGACATGCAGGCCAAACAGATTCAAGGAGGACTGGGGATTTCAGAAGTGCAAGCCTTGTCTGGACTGTGCACTAGTTAACCGATTTCAGAAGACCAACTGCTCTGCCATGAGCAATGCAATATGTGGGGACTGCTTACCAGGGTGAGTCTATTTCTAGAAATAAAAGAACATTAAAAAAAATTATATTAATGATTGCAAGTTGGTGTTTCTTGGAGAAATGAGTACATGATTATTTATATGAATGTCCTAGATTCTGCTGTAATCTTATCTAAATTTTAGTCATGGACTCTGCAAAAGTTTAGGTATGTCTTTGAACACATTGCTTCACTTTCTATCTCAATTTTTCTATCTGTAAAATCGGGATAATACTCTCCTATAGGAGTAACATCTATATGGTGCTCCCAAAACGTAATAGAGTTTTAATCCTGGTAGGCTCTTTCACATGTATTATCAACACAGCAAAGTCAAACTATTCTATAGTCTAATTTAAACCTGTCTATTTTGGAAACTTTACTGGTAGCTCAACCCTTATCATTTTCCATCATAATCCTGAAAATATTTTCTTTTCTAAAAACACTATATATGTTTAATTATGAAATTTATTGCATCACGAGAACTAAATTCTGTGCTCAACATTCACATTGCCTGTTTTCTCATCTCTGACACTCTCCCAAATAAGACATGCACATTGTTTTGGAAGGCAAAATTACAAGAAAACGATTTTTGCAGTGTCATGGCCAACTCTGGGACATAGAGTAAGCCGTCTGGAAACATAAATGTCCAGGAAATGTGGCATCTCAGAAAACAGTCTGCATGATGCAGCAGGAACTTCCTGGTGCAGCAGGACAGCAACAAGACTAAGTCCCTGATTTTTACAAGAACAGTAGTAAGACTGTTACTTCTGTGCCGTAAATAGTTCTTTATATAAATTCCTGTAAATAAGAATGTTGTTTCCACACCACAGATCTCATCAAGATACTACAGATTATGTGCGGCAACCCACTTGCCTTAAGCCACTTCAGTGGCTACTTCAGGCATAAGCTACAGTGCTCAGCTAGTAACTACTGCAAATTCCTTAGCACCTGTGAGAGATGTAACATAGGATGATTCCTCCTCTTCTTACTGGGGCCAGAGAGATTGAGAAGCCATCTTGGCAGTGTCCATGTGCTTCTATTCTTCACTGCTTCTGTTCTAGCAAAGAAGGATCAGCTTCCCTGAGTAAGATGTGTACCCAGTTTTGGAGCACCCTGACTTTATGTAGTGGGGGAAGTACACACGGTATATGAGTAAATGCAGTATGCAAGTAAATACAGTGCATTCCTTGACTTGAATGGGATGTCCACATTTGAGGACATAACTTGGTCTTCTGAATACATACAGACAAACAAGTATTCTTCACAGCATACTCTGCTTTGTTGTCTAAAACTGTTTAATAGAAATGAGAGAGAACTAGATCTGGATTTTTTCTCCCAGACCAAAAATGGCTCCTCTGGGAGAGAGAGAACCTGGGAACAGCCAGGGTTAAAGTGCTCCTGGGAAAGTAAATGTCTGTCCATATTCACTTCTGAGAAAAGCCACAGCACAGTCCTCCAGCATTCAAGGGTGCTTTGCTTCTGCCTGCCCTGCTCCCTCTTCCTCAGGGAGACAGTGTGTTGCCTTGGCTGGACTCTGCTCTAGTTGAGCAGGGAGCAGAACACATGTCCTTCACAATCCCCACATTGTGCTACAGGGAGACACAGGCTGACCCTGAGCAATCTGAGTCAACCAATCATGGCTGCCCTGTGCATTGCTGCCACCTGTTTCCAGGCAGACTGAGGAAGCCTCCAAGCATGCTGAAATGTGTGTGCAGCACCAATACTGTATGCTCTCTATTCTTCAGGGGCTCAGCATTCAAGTGTCTGTTCAGATGTCTCTGGGTAAGTTTTTCTACCAGGAGAACAAACCTGGGAGAATTCTCCCAGATTTTTGGAATGTGTGTATGCATGCAGTGTTGAAAAACAGTAGCTACAACAGTGAGAGACTGAACTATGCTTTTTAGTCCCTTGAAGCCAGTTGATTTCAGTGACTTGGATGGGAGCCATAATTACTTACCTATCTTGTTTGTGCTTATTTTCCCCTTCTGTATAGTATAGCTTAAGGCAATATCTACAGTGGAGCTTGATAAACTTTAACCAGTCATTTTTAAAGCATTCTTCAAAAACTTAATAATTCTGAGCCCTGATCCTACAAAAAACTTACACATATGCACAACTCTACCCACTGTGAGTAGTTTAATTGAAATCAGTGGAATTACTGCGTAATATTGCAGTGTTTACCCTGAACCACAATGCAGCTTGCGGGCTAGTAGGTCTACCATAGATATGATCTTCTCACTCTAGCAAACCCAAGAAAACTCTTGGGAACAAAGGAGATACCTATGTATTGCCTTCATTGACCTGACCAGGGCCTTCAAGCTTGTGAGCTGAAAAGGCATCTTCACATTATTGGAAAAGATTTAGCTGCCGACAAAAACTCCACAGCATAATCCGTTCTTTCCATGTTGGAATGCTGGGAACAGTCAGCTCTGATGGATCAACATCTGAGGCTTTTGAAATTGAAAGCAGAGTTGAGCAGGGCTAGGTCCTTGTTCTAACCCTGTTCAGGATGTTCTTTTCTCTTCTTCCGATGCATGCTATTGGGATCATTACCAATGGAATCTGTCTACGTATGCTCAGATGGAAAATTATTCAACCATACACACTTTAAAGCAATGAATAAAGTGTAGAAAGTTTTGATTTGTGAGCTGCTGTTTGCCAATGATGCCATACTAATAGCACACACAGAGCAACTTTCAAAGCCTGATCAGTTGCTTTGCTCATGCCTACCAAGATTTCAGTTTTATAGTCAGCATCAAGAAGACCAATGTTACGAGCCAGAACATTGATTCACCACCAGCAATCATGATAGGTTAAAAAGTACTGAATGTTGTAAGTAAATTTATGTACCTTGAGTCCATTGTTACCAACAAGTTGTCACTTGAGGGTGCACTGAATACCTGCATTGGCAAAGCATCAGGTAGCATGAGTATGCTGAGCAAATGTGTGTGGAACAACAACAGACTGACTGTTAAGACTAAAGTTAAAGTAGATTGTGCTTGCATCATCAACTCTTTTTTGTGTGGCAGCAAATCCCAGGCCACACACTGTACTCACGAACACTGACTCAACAGCTTCTACTTTTATGTTGCCTTGGCTTCATTCTAAAAATTTACTGGTGGGGGAAAAAAAAACAACCTACATTGAAGCCATGGAACATGCCAGCATTATGAGCATTCACTCTTAGTACTGACTTCGGCTTGGTCATAGAAAGAAAATGGACAGTGGCTGTGTACCCAAAGATCTCTGTATAGAGAACACCTTACAGGATGAAGACCACATGGGCATCCTTATCTCTGTTTCAAAGATATTTGCAAGAGAGAAATGAAGGCAAAAAATGTTGAGCCAAATGACTGGGAGGAGATTGCTGAGGATTAAATCATTTGGAAACAATCTATTAAGCATGGAGTGAAGGCTTTCAAGGAGAGAATCCAACATGCAGAAAAAAGAGGAAACTCAGGACTGTTTGATACAAATTTCACATATGATAAGTACAGAAGGGATTGTCACTCAAAAATTGGGCTCTATAACCACACCTACAGTTGTTTAACAAACTAATACACATGGCACAAATCTATTGTCTTGCAAGCCAGACAGATCCGTACTGAGGGGTTGGTCTAGGGCAGCCTATGTGTGTGGCACATGGCAGATTGGGCTGGGGACAGGCAGCACAATGGCCAATTATACAGGAAGGAGAAAGCAGATCAGGACATGGAGCAGAGAGCAAAAAGCTAAGGAGCAGACTGATAAAGGAAAAAGATCAGAGTGGCATTCAGGGACGGGGCTAATTTGTGGTACGCCTGCCAAAAAGGTTGGCCCCCAATGGTCTACATGGTGCTTGAGGTCCCTTCCAGCCCTATTGTAATATTACAAAAGCCTTAGCCTGCCTGTCTGTCCATAACACTTTATTCGCACTCTGATTGGCTGTCTCAGCAGCTAATCAGAGTGCTCTACACAGGCAGAGACAGACAGTGGAGCGCCACCATAACAGTGGGGACTGAGGGGCCAGAGCGGAGGGGGGCGAAGCCAGCTCCGCACCGCTCCCCTGCTAATCCCCCTGCCCCCCTCTCCCTGGCCTCGCCCCCCTTCCCTGCTTTTTGGGGGCAAAGGGGGACAGCAGGGACCGGAGTGTCACCATAACAGAGGGGATGGAGTAGGGGGTGGGGTGAGGCCAGCAGTGCTGGCCTTGCCCCCCCAGGTTGGCTTCTTGGAGTCCCAAGGCCCCTAACACCCAGCATGGAGGGGAGATGGTGGGAAACAGGGGAGGAAGGGGAGCAGGAAGGAGTGGGGGGGGTTGACACCAGCTCTGGCCTGAAGCAGTGGGGGGAGGAGGGGAGCAGCCCCAGCCCTGGCCCAAAGGTGAAGGGGGGGGAAACAGCCCAGGCCCCAAGTGGTGGGGGGAAATGGGGAGTGGCCCTAGCCCAAAGCAGTGGGGGGTGGGGAACAGCCCTGGCTCTGTCCCAAAGCGGCAGGCGGAGGTGGGGAGTGGCCCCAGCCTGAAGGTGAAGGGGGAAACTGACCCAGACCCGGGCCCCAACCCAAAGCAGCAGGGAGAGAATGGGGGAACAGCACCAGCACTGGCCTGAAGTGGGGTGGGGGCATGGGACGGCCAAGGACCCATCCCAAAGCTGCGGGGGGAAGTGGGGAGTGCCTCTGTCCTGACCCAAGGTGGGGGAGGGGGGCGGATGCAGACCTCTGTCCCCATGCCCCCCACCCCATCATAATGGGCAATTCGCTAGTGATTTTATATGCTTTTGAAGTTTAGTGGGGGTTATTTGTTTTTATCTTTGTTTTTTAACATCATCATTCCACAGGTCATTCCCATTATATTTCATGACAGAGCTGTCGTGATATATCTGAAGAGAGAGAGAGAGTATATATGTGTGTGAGACTTCCAGAACCATGGCCTAGAGCTGCCTTTTTCATAGAGAGTCTGTGCTAAAAGATGGCTGCCAGATTTTCTCTCAGGCAGTAAGCAGAAGGAATGGAGTCTGGTGTTAACCCTTCTACAGATGCTCTCAAATTGGCAGCAGTTTTTTGGCTTCTTATTTAACTGTTCCACTCCTCCTATTTTCTGTTACAGAGAAAAGCTGGCAGCCATCTTGCATGCTTCTATTCCTTTATGCCTTCTATTCCAATGAAGAAAAATCAGCTTCCCTGCTTAAGACACACATCTCAGTTTTGGACAGCTGATGTTTGGGGACAGGGTGCTCTTTGTATGTGTGTAAATATGATACCCGGCAGCAGGATCCAATGGCTAACACTAGATTATCTCCGCTCTTTGATATATCCTGTTTAGATGGTAAACTCAGGGTAAGGACTTGTTTCATGCAGTGTTTGTATGCTCCCAAGCACAGCACTCAAATCTCTAGACAGTATTATAAACATCAATTATTTTATTATTAACTAATATGGGCAGTTGCTTTATTTTCTAGATTTTACAGGAAGACTAAGCTTGGAGGCTTTCAAGACATGGAGTGTGTCCCTTGTGGTGATCCCCCTCCTCCCTACGAACCTCACTGTAAGTGCTGTTTTATCGCCAATTGGAACTGGATTAACTTTTGCCTTTTTTAATTTTGTTTTTAATACCTTAGTGTGAAAGCTAAGAAAAGCTGTAATTTTGTTGCTGAAACTGAACCATGTGCTTCTTATTTAATCATATTTTCTTAACAAGAAAGTAAGTTCTTGATCATGACATGTGGAGGAATGAAAACAGATGCGGGGATGGATTTAATTTAACATACCAGGCATATAAGTGGATCTAATACTGAGGATCCTGGGCTCCCAACAGATAATGTATCAGTCAGGCAGACTCTTCTCTGCCTACCCATAGGATTTTGAAATGATGCTGCTATTTGAATTTCATGGATTTTTGTTGCAAAAATTGTAGACTAGTTCATTTTTCCTGATTAAATAAAGTTTTCAGACAGTTTCTTTTGAAAAGAGAAGATTTTGGAACATAGCTTTTCTTGGATTTCTGCTATTATTTGAGAACAATGTTCTGTGTCAGAATTGTTCAGTTTTTATTCAAGATTGAAACATTTGAAAGTATTAAGTTACGTTTCTCTAGTGGCAATAATAAATCAGTCAGCTTGTTATAGTCTCTATAATAATTTCCCTCCAGTTATGATGTATGTCTAGAAAGTTGGATTGTTTTTCAATTAGTTTTATAGGGTCAAGCATTTAACCTGTTAACATGCTTTCTGTTAAATGTAGCTTTCACTATAATGAGACCAACGTGACATGAGGGACCTAATTCTGTTCTGACGTACTTAGAACAGCTATCTTCAACACAGCAGAATTGCCCAAGACATTTCAAGGTTTAATTTGGACCCAGATAAGCAATTTGATATATACACTTCTTTTGTTTCAGGAATTGAAAATAAATATCTCTCTTAAATCTTCTAATGATACAGCTGTACTGGGAAGTGTAAATACAAAAGCATGAAACCTTGTGTTTGGGTGTTTTTTGGGGTTCTTTTTACTCCCTGATGGTTAATATTGTTTAGTTTTAGATATTTAACTAGTACATTATTTTCTTTTTTTTTACTTACATTTATTGAACTGTGTGGAAACGCTCCTTTAGAAAGGTGTAAAAAATTATTAATGGGTAGAGCCAAGTACCAATACTCTACCTTTCCTATCCCTTTTTCCTTTTAAAGTAAAATAAAGACAAATATTTGTGCAGCTAACTCAGAGCCATTTTAGATGAAAAGGAAAAGTTTAAATGTCTTACCCCAATAAATTAACTGTCTTGTGAGGGGCTTTGGCAAGTTCTTATTTGCTTACAAACACTACCATCGGGTCATGAACTTCCTAGGCTAAAGGTTCATGGTAAGTCTGAGACATGGGTGAGGACTGGTAGCAGTTGATTATTACCCAGTTAGCTATAAATCTAAATACTTGCTTTCATCTTCTGTCTTTCTGCAGACATTTTAAAACAGATCTGGTTTAAATATTTACTCATGAAAAAACAGATTGTGGATTGTTAAAGACAATGTTGAAAGAATTCTATAATGGAAAAATAAAGACTTAATGACTAAGAAAGAAAATTGTTCTCTTTGTGTAGATAAAGAGAAGACAATGAATTCTCTGTATTTAGTGGAATAGAAAATTAATTATATGCAGACATAACATTTTCAAATATTGAATTCAGATAAGTTATAAATACTTGCTTCTACACCTTGGTAAAGTATCCAGACATCAGATTAGGAGTGACCAGTGTATTTTTGCAATGTCTGCATAAATTCACTTTATAAATGAGGTGAAGTCATCAATATTCATGGCAATTGAGTGAATGGCACCAGTACTTCTCATCTATCTTCTTAAAACAAAACAAACACAACTGTAAAACATGAAGAGACAGGTAGGGTAAGACTATCCCTGACTGCTACCTCTCCAGAAGAGAAATGATGACTTAGAATAAATATGACACTTCTAGCTAGTTTTAAGATTTACAAAATATTAGATGAAATAAAGAAAAAATAGGAAGAAAATACATCAAATACAGTTAAACAAACCTATATTTTTCCATTTGAAGAAACCCTGTCAGACTAAGGTAGACTTTTACCAAAAACACATTTTTCTTTACTACTTCTTTTGCAGCTACTGTTGTAAATGTGCATTTGGGGTTTTATTCATCTGCTTTGTCCTGTAATTAAAGCTTTTAGAAATGATTTGCGAATGCCACATTTATCATTAGTACTGAAGAGCCATAAGGGCATATGTTTGTGCACATTTTGCAGAGATTGGGACTCTCATTTGAAGACAAATGTTTGATAATTAACAAATGGAAAAGAAAACTATCCAAAATATTAATAGAATTTTCTCTTGTAATTTTAATGAGAGAGAATTGGGCTTTAGCTGGTTTCATTGTTGTTGAGTTTCCATAGTATTGAACATTGTCAATGCTTGGAATAATGTAGGTAAGACAATTTTTCAGAGAGAGAGAGAGAGAGAGAGAGAAGCACTCATGTATTTGCTTAAAGCACTTTTTTCAGTACTCACTGAAAAACTATCTTGTTTGGTAATATCTTTTATTGGGCCAACTGCATAGCTGGGAGAGGTGGTAGACAAGCTTTTGGGCAAGTCTGAGAAGAAGCAGATACAACCTAAGCTAAGTACCTAGTAGAACAATTACTTTTGTTTAGCCCAACAGCTGCAGATGGTAAGTACTCTGGTGATGATTTGGGGGGGGGGGTGCTCTGTATAAGCTTTGGAAATTGATGTTACTGTTTATTTTGGCTCCTTTTTTTCTTCATGCTGTTAATCTTCCATTTTAAATAGTGAATTTCAATATCTACCATGTTTTGGTAGTGTTGTAGTGTTGTTGCCATGTTGGTCCAGATGCAAGGAAGAGCAGTTTCTGCTCTTCACATATCAACGCAAGAAGTAAGGTGGTTAGGATTTCCTGGGGAGAGGGGGAGATGCATAGAGACTGGCACTGAGTTCAAGACTTGTGTTTCCAGTGTGTTCAAGAGTGGTGGCTTGGGGTGTTTGCAGATAATCCTTATCAACCCATTTCTGGGATTGTCATGCACACAACAGGCTTGGATAGACAGGGCTTGTTTCTTTGCTTGTGTGGCTGAACACTCTGCTGCCTTGTGCAATGGGTCACTGTTACAACTGGAACGAGCCATCCCTGTGGTAGGCAGTCATTGGCTGCTATGCTGGCAGGAAGCCAGCCCTGTCCCAAGCACAGCCTTAAAAACCAGCATAGCAGACTGTCTGTAAGCAAGTCTTTTGGTAGCCTTGTAGACTGTCCTGATCCTGGTACCTTGCCTTGATTTTTGTCCCTGCTCTTGCTCCCTCTTGCTGCATACTTGGTATCCGTATATAGCTTCTTAACTTTGGCTTGCTCCTGACTGCTACTGAGATACTGATCCGTGGGCCTTTGATGCTGGCCTGTTTCCTTAGCTTCCTGATTAGGATGTAATCTCTGGCATCCTAACTGCAGCTTGGTTTACAGCTTCCTGATTCGGAGTGTTTGATGTTGACCTGTTTCTCATCATGACTGGCCTCCAGACAGAAAGAGGTGAGCTGAAACACTTGACAGAAAAAAAAAAAAAGAACCACTGTTGCATAGGAGGTATTGTGGTGGGCCCAGACATCGTGCCATGAATTGCCTACTGAAGACCAGATTTGAGCTGTATCAGGGATTTCTGTCTAGGTCTGACCTGTTGAGGAAGGTAACCCATTTAGCTGAGCAGTGTACCTCCAGCACTGCATCCATAAACATCTTACTGCCATTCCTGTATCTGCATCTTTTTTCTAGCTCCCTTGTAGCTTTTCACTCTGTTTCTGCTATGGAAATCATTACCCCTATTGGTGTTGTAGATTCCACAGCTCTTGTTAATTTTGTGGTTTTGGAATTTTCTAGAGCCACCTGGATCCTAGTTCAGCATAAGGGCATTCCCATGGCAAACCTATGGGCTGATTACATTCAAGATGGCTGTTTTTGAGGCTACTATCTGAATCCATTATAAATTGTTAGTTTTGGCTTGATCCACTATACTTACCACTTCTTGCCTTGCCCTACATAGCTCTACCATCCAGTGGTACTCTGAAAGAATCCAGCCTTATTTGGAATACTGCTTCCAAAACTAACCTAGTGAGGTGAGGTGTGGCTGCAAGGGAGGTAGGTCCCTGACTCCAGGGCAGTAGGTCCCAATATGCCAGGAACCTCCAAAATGGCTGCAACACACCACACAACACTCCAACAACTGTGCCCACCGCTTGCAGAGTCAGGCAGTGTGAAACACACTGCAGTACCACGAGCTGAGAGGGGGGGGGGGTTCCATTTGTTCAATAAGAGTCAGAGATCTGGGTTTTCCAGAAAATTTTCCAATGCCCTAAATAGCGCGTGATCTGATTTAGCATGTTTATTTGATTTATATTTAGTAAACAAAACTAAAAAAGTACCCCCATGTTAATTTTATGTCCCAATAGCCACAAGTATTTGAACTGAAATATTTGATTAGGAAAAAAAATAAATAGAGCACACTTAATGTGGTTTAAATGTTTTATTCAAACAAATTCAAAGTTTTATGTGGAAATAAATTATTTTTATTGGAATACTTGTAAAAATTTAAAGACAATACACAGTGGCATGTACTTCCCTTACGTTGTTTGTTTAAATTTAAGAAAAAAAATAAAGGTACTGAAAACTGTTGAGACACTAACTTTAGCACACCCAAAGAACTGTGCATGATATGCCATGGTTGTCTACTCATCTACTTCAACAGAGTTTAACTCTCTTGAGGCAAATCTGATTCAGAACTACTTGAACTACATTCTCTTTCATTAAAGAATGGCTTTACCAATGAGTCTATGGGCAAGGGCAACTTATCATCACACTGCATCTTCTTCACTAATTGTGCTTCTGACTGATTCTCCAGAAGCAAAGAGATTTTGAGAAATAGAAACAAACTTAGTGGTGCGTTCATTTGTTAGTCTGTTTCTCTTTTGTGTCTTGATTGAGCTGAAAGCCTTCTGGTTCCGTTCACAAGAAGCTGCTGTTGG